CAGCGTCCCCGGCCCGCCCGGCCCCGCCATGGCCAGGCCGCAGAGGGCTCCGGCGCGCAGTCCTGACAGCATCGTCGAGGTGAAGAGCAAAGTAAGGACTCCTCCGGCGCCGGCGCCGGCCCTAAGTGCTCCCAATTCCCTATCTCCCTTCTCGGTTCCTTGGTCCTTATCACCTCTTTCTGTCCTCCATCCTCCACGTCTCATTCTGCTTTACTGCCACCAGCCTCCATCCATCTTCTTTTTGCTGCTGGCCTGCATAGTCCGTCTGTGGCTGTATATGGGGGGCGAGGGGGAACATTGGACAGCGTCCCCTGTACTGGAGCTGTTTGGGCTTAAGGCTGCAGCTTTTGCGGCAGCCCGTTCTTTCCCACCCGGATAACAGAGCTATGGTGAGAAGGGCGCGCGGGCTCTGTCCTGACCCCCCTTCTCCCCCACCCCCGGCCTCCAGTTTGACGCGGAGTTCCGACGCTTCGCACTGCCCCGCGCTTCGGTGAGCTGCTTCCAGGAGTTCTCGCGGTTGCTGCGAGCGGTGCACCAGATCCAGGGCCTGGACGTACTGCTTGGTTATACAGATGCTCACGGCGACCTGCTGCCCCTCACCAACGATGACAGCCTGCACCGGGCACTGGCCAGTGGGCCCCCACCGCTGCGCCTACTGGTGCAGAAGCGGGGTGAGGATGGGGTATTTTGGGGTGTTTTGGGGTAGGGTGACAGAGCAGGTCTTCAAGGGTTATACCATAGCGAAGGCACCCAGGTTATGTACTCTGCAGTCCCTGCCCTTTGCCTGACCTCCAAGTGGTAGAAAATAGCAACATTGCCCACTGTTAAAGGCCTAAGTGGGAAAGCAGAGTCTCTGATCTCAGCACCCTCTTTCCATGCAGCAGAAGCTGACTCCAGTACCCTGGCTTTTGCCTCCAACTCTCTGCAGCGGCGCAAGAAAGGGCTCTTGCTGAGACCAGTGGCACCACTGCGTACCCGGCCACCTCTTCTAATTGGCCTCCCCCAAGATTTTCGCCAGGTTTCCTCAGTGATAGATGTGGACCTACTACCTGAGACCCACCGTCGAGTGCGGCTCCACAAGCATGGTTCAGACCGTCCCCTGGGTTTCTACATCCGAGATGGCATGAGTGTCCGTGTGGCTCCCCAGGGCCTGGAGCGGGTTCCAGGCATCTTCATCTCCCGCCTGGTACGTGGGGGCTTGGCTGAGAGTACAGGGCTGTTGGCAGTCAGTGATGAGATCCTCGAGGTCAATGGCATTGAGGTGGCTGGGAAGACCTTGGACCAAGTGACGGATATGATGGTTGCCAACAGCCATAACCTCATCGTCACTGTCAAGCCTGCCAACCAGCGCAATAATGTGGTGCGAGGGGCATCCGGGCGTCTGACAGGCCCTCCCTCTGCAGGACCTGGGCCTACTGAGCCCGACAGTGATGATGATGACAGCAGTGACCTGGTCCTTGACAACCGCCAGACTCCCTGTTCCAATGGGCTGTCTCAGGGGCCCCCGTACTGGGACTTACATCCTGGTTGTCTACTTCCTGGTGCCCGCAGCTCTCTGCCCTCCCTGGATGGTCAAGAACAGGTCAGCTCTGGCTGGAGGAGTGGTATACGAGGAGATGGTAGTGGCTTCAGCCTCTGACAGGCAAGGATGCAGCCCCTTGCCACTTGAGGCTGCTGGAACATGGCAGGGACTTTCCACTGGAAGGTTTTAGCTTGCTCACAGGCCCCTCTTAGCCTGGGAAACATTAAAGATTTTATACAATTATGGACATGGTCCTTCTGTGTCCCAGCCCCAGCTTCCTTGATCCTACAAGCTTGCCTTCTGTCCTGGACATGAGGCAGGATAAGGGCAGAGGGGAAATGTTCCCATAGTCAAGCAGCAGGAGGGGCACCAGACTTGGTATTCTAGAGTAAGAAAAGCTCTTATGGAAACAAATCCCAGTTTGTAACAAACGTTTAATTTTGGCAAAGGGGTTAAAAGGTTGGGATCGTTCTTCTGTAGGCACTGGTGACTGGGAGGAGTCCCCTGGGTATATGGTGTACCCCACTGCTGCTGTCTTCAGACCTCTGCTCTGTGGTGGGGCCTGACCCTGCCCTTTGTAACCATGTGGCAATCTTCAGCGTGGAATTCCCTGTCCCTGTCCCTACAAAGGGGCTCAGGCATCCAACTTCACAAATACTTTGGGCCGAGAAAAGATCTTGATGGCTTCTTCCACCTGCACCAGCTTCTGGTCTAGCTCAGCACGGTAGCCCTGGGCTCTCAGAGAGTCTGCTCCAGCAGGCAGCAGTACCAGCTCACGGAGCAGCTGGCTCTGGCCTACAGGTTCCGAGGAACAGTGAGTGCTGGGCAGGGATGTGTGGTCCCCAGGGGGCTCCCTATCCATCTCCTCTTGCTCAGGTACTTACTCTGCAGCAGATTGTTCAGTGTCTCCAGCCGCTGGTTCTCAGGCATGCAAGTGTGGCCGGGGGGCATGGTGGGATCTGGCTGGCTATGCTGCTGGGCCTCAGCCTCCCGCCGCCATAGATCTTTGCGCTCCAATAGACTACAAAGGCACAGGCCCATGTTTGATGACATTAGGGTGGAGATTCAGTCCCACCCACCACACGTACCCCTCACCCTGGGTGTTGGGCATTGGGACCTACTAATGGGGAACATGGCCCTTCTGTGTGGTGTTGTAGTGCTCCTGGGCTTGCTGCTGTCTCTCTAGCACCTGGGCCAGGATCTGTAGTGAGCGTGAATGGCGCCGGGGGGCCCTCTTGGCAGCTCGGGCATTGTGGCTAATGAAGTCCACATCTAGGACTGGACCCTACAGGACATAGCAACCATGGGGGGTGGATAGCACTGTGTTGTGCCCCTGCATCCCAGACCCCTCCCCATCCTTTTCCTGGCCCCCATACATTCTCTAACCTTAGCTTTAGGACTTGATGAAGTAAGCTGGGGACTGGGGACACGGGGTGGTGGGAGCCCAGGGCCACAGCGGGAGTGTGCCCGCAGGAAGTGGGCAGGCTCTGTCGCAGAGGCAGGGCCAGGCTCCTGGAGGGCAGAGCACAGTAGAAGAGTCCATCAAGGGCCAAGGATTTAGCTCAGTGGTTCAGCTGCCTGCCTCGCAAGCACAAGGACCTGAGTTCAATCCTCCATACCAAAAAAATAAAAAATAAAAAGTCCATCAAGCTAAGGCCATGGTCCTAAGTCATAAGCCATGTCTCTGTCCCTTCTGCCTCTCAGGACCTTTCTATCCCTGTCCCTATTGAAGGAGCATATCTGTTCATCAGCATTTAAACATGTGTGCGTTTCTCATACCTTTTTTAGTTTCAGTAAGGAAGATCAAACCTAGGTCCCTGCATATGCTAGGCAAACTTTCCACCACTGAACTACATCCTTAGCTCCTCTCATATTTTTTGTTTGTTTGTTTTGTTTTATTTTATTTTGGGACCTTGCACTTGTAAGGCAGGTGGCAGCACCACTGAGCTAAATCCCCGGCCCTCCTCTCACATTTTTAAGAGAAGAGCAAACCATCTCTCTTTCTATCTAAATCCTAGTCCAGCTAACACTCTTTTCCTTCCTAGCCGAATTTCCTGACTCTAGGCTGGCCCCCTAGAGTCACTGAGAGTAGGTTGTCAAGCCCTCAAATGTGGGGTGCGACTTCCTTGGTCTCATTGTTCGCAACCTGCTCATCAATAACTGCTGGGTCTCATGCCAGAGCTCCAGACCTGAGTATCCGTCTGCCTCCTGGACACACTCCCACCCCCTGGGAGTCCCCAGATGCTTCATCCTCAATATATCCTCATGTGACCTTGTCTTTTTTTTTCCAATTCTTTTCCTTCCTCTGAGTCCCTGGATAGAAGAATGGTGTCTACCCAAGACAGAATGCCACCACTGTACCCTCACCTTGCCCTCCCTGCTATCCCCAGAGATATATGTTGAAGGGTTAGGGATCATCTCACTGGTAAAGCACGTGTTTAGAATACATGAGCTCCCAGGTTCAATCGTCAGCAAAAAAAAAAAAGATGTTGACTATGAACAAATGCCATATGGGTCTAGCTCCTTCTTGCCTAACCTCTTGCTTTTCCCCACTCAGTGATCTCCAACTCCCACACCTCCTCTGGTCTCTGGACTTCTGCCTGTGCAGTTCCCTACCTATGGAACATTCTCTTCTACTCTCCACTTGCCCCTAAGGATTATCCCAGCCATTACCACTTCTAAGAAGACACTTCCATGGTGTCTCTTAGTCCTTTGTCACCTTAGTCCCCTGTGATTTCCTCCTTTTCCATAACTCAAGAGTACAGTATAAAAGCCTAGTGGCCAAGAGGGACAACGTTCCTGGTTCTGAGACAGGTACCTGCAGCTGGGCCTTGACTCGGGACTCCACTTTATCATACTTGGGCGAGCGCCACAGTGCCTTCAGGGGCCTGGGTTGGCCCTGCTCCCGGCTGTGCTCCTGCTCTCTGAAGCGCCTCTGGATCTCCCTGATCCGCCTCAGGTTTTCCTTTTCATGGTCTTTAGGGTCCTTCCCTGGGAAAAAGATGCTGCCAGGCTGTACCGAACATATGGCCCCTGCAACCCAACATACACCAGACCACACACAAGGCCACACTTATTCTTTGCAGAAAGAACTCCCTGACCCCACCATTTAAGTTAGACCTGACACAATACTCTATTTTCATACCAACCTTTTTGTTTCATTTTTAAATTTTCAGACCAGTTTTTACTAAGTTGCTCAGACTGGGCTCAAATTGCGATCCTCTTGCCTCAGCCTCCCAGAAAATATCTAATTATTTTCTACATTTTTATAGTGAATTATACCATTAATCATATCAGATGTTCATCTCTTCACTTGTTTATTGCCTCCCATTTGACTTGGTGGTGGCCAATGCTTGTCTTTAAACCTGTTCCCAGGAATTGTTGTACAGTAGGCATTCAGTAAATAACATTTCACTGATGCATGGATGCATGAAGAAAGCTTAAGCTTCATGTGGACCTTGTGCTTGCAAGGCAGGTGTGATGCCACTGAGCTAAATCCCTGAGTCCTCTCTTTTGATGAGGTAGTGAATCAATCTCTCTCTCTCTCTCTCTCTCTCTCTCTCTCTCTCTCATATTCGGGAAACAGACCCAGAGGAGCAAAGCCTGAGCCCTGGTCAGAGAAGGAGCAGCTGTTCTTGATCTTGTCTCTCTTGCTCCTCTCCTCTCTCCTCCCCACTTCTCCTCTTTCTCCTCCTCCTCCTCCCTCTCTTTGTCTCTCTCTGAGATCTCATTATGTTACCATGCTCTCATCTTCCCCCCTTCTTTTTCTTCTATCAGACCTCATTACTTACCCATGCTGGACTCCTGACTCAAACAATACTCCTGTTGTACAACCCTAAGGGCTGGGACTACAGGAATGCATCAGCCATCACATCCAGCTTGCTCTCAATTTTTTTTTCTTTTTTAGACAGGGTCTCAAGGTGGCCTTGAACTCACTATACAGCCCAGGCTGGCCTGGAACTCCAGCCTCAGCCTCCCCAGTGCTGGGATCACAGGCCTGTCCGCCACACAAGCTTTTATCTCAGTTTTTGACATCTGACTGCCTCACTGACCCTCTGGCTGAGACTTACTCTTGGGAGAGGCTTCTGGACCAAGGGAGATGCCCTCTAGTTGCAGCAGCAAGTCTCCCATGCCGCGCTGGCCACGCTCCAGGATCTCTCGGGCTCCAGGCCTGATACGTGGGCCACGGGGAGGTGTGGCGTCCAGGTCTCTGACCGAGGTTAGCAGGTCCAGCTTCAGCGCATTTCCCTCAAGGCGCCCTTGGGCTGAGAGGCGGGGAGGGAGGAGTGTAGGGTGCACAGGGCTTGGTAGTGGAGCAGGTACTTTGCCCTGCTGTGGTACCCCTCAACTTACCAGAGGCCGGCCGCCGGTAGTACTCAGGGCATAGCGTGGGATCTGGAGGGATGGGCCCTGAGATGCGGGACGGACCCTCGCACATGTCTACGTCGCTGCCCTGCAAAGGTGCCTGATGTTCCGTGCATCTCCCGCCCGGACCCCCTGTCCCAGTCCATCCCCCCACCCCAATCCGCCCCACCC